ACACACACACACACACACACACACACACACACACACACACACACACAGCCAAAGCATTAGAGAGGTTAAATGATTCACTCCTAGTCACACAAGTGGTAATGTGAGAGACAGGATTAGAACCCAGGTCTCTCAATTCCAAGTCCCGCATACTTTCTACTACACCATGTTGTCTCTGGGCAATTGAAAGAAAACACTTGCAAAACCATTAAAAATGGCACCTGGAACTCTCCTCAACCACCTAAATGTCAGTGTCTGTGCAAGGAGAACCTGGGTTTACAGAATCTTGAATTAGGAAGGAACTATGAGGTCACTCTGAACCATTCAGTAGGACCTAACAATAAAAGATGGCAGTCAGAAAAAAAAAAGATAATATGTGTAATCCCTGACATTTATATCAAACTCGGAAGCTGATGGAGTACCTTATATACTTCACCTCATTCGAGGCTGACAACTCTGGGACATTTGATGGAACAGATTTATTTTGCCTATTTTGCAGATGAGGAAATTGGAATAAAACTGGTGGGGAGAGATTAATGGATTTGCCCAGGGTTGCACAGCCTACAAGTAGACAAGGCAAGATCTAATCCAGGGACTCTTGACTCCAAGTTCAGAGTACTATCTACACTCTTACGTAGCAGATATGGAGGTAGATGAATTGATATATGTTTGGTTCTATATATAGAAGGGGCTATAAAGACACAGTTCTTGCTTTATGCAAGTTTACAATCTTAAATTGTTTATATTTTTCCACCTTGTTAAAATACTGCTTGAGTGACAAATAGATTGTATACGATGGAGAGAAGGAACAATGTAAGGGAGGCTATGGCAGTCAATGTTAGTACTATGTGAGGACAGTATAGTAGGGGAAGACTGGGGCCATCTTGTGTTATTTTGGCTATTTTACCTTCCCCTTTTCCAAAGACTACTACTTTGGAAAATTGCATATTGCTCTATGCATGGCAGAGAAGGCCAAATGATCCTAGATTTTTACATATATATGTATGTATATACGAATATGTATATATATAAACATACATATACATATATGTGCATGTGTGTGTAAATATATGTATTTTTCAGAGATTATTTGTATAACTGGAAAACAAAACCTGTTTTGCAAAGAGAGGTGAAAGACAATATGGTGTCCAGAACATAGAACCTAATTTCCCTAATGTTTTTTACCTTAAACTAGTGTAAGCTACTGCCCCTTTTCTATGTGAGCAGTTTGGTTGCTAAAAGAAGAAGAAAAAGAGCTATTGAGTAAAGAGCTAACCTGAGGAGCTTTGAAGTACTCTGAATTAAGGGAATTGCTCATCATTACAATAGCGCAACACTTTCTTGGCAGCCCTTTTAAGAGTGGTTATTACTTAAAAGATGTTATCACTGCTTCACCAACTCAAGAGCAGAGTGGATTTTTGCAGCAGGAGAGTGATGAAGACCAGAAAGGGAGCAGCTAGCAGAGAAGCTTCATGGAGGAGAGAAGCTTCATGGAGTAGGTTGTTCCTGAAGGGCAAAGATATCAAGTATTGTAGTCCAAACTTGTGAGTTGTTCCCAAGTATAGGAGTTTCCTCTCTCACATTCCTCTCTGCTAAGTTTCTATAATTGTGATCCCAGTATCCTCTGCAGGATGATGTAAGAGTGTGACCTAGATTTATTGGTAGGCTGTGATATTTTGATTATTGCTACATTTGCTTCATTTTAAATAACTGTGGGTTATCATTATTCATGCTTTTCATTCTTTGTTGTTAAGTGAATGTTTTTTGCTTAAGAGCTAATGGTGTCATAGTGATTTAATGGGGACTCAGAATGATAGTTCTGAGGGATGTGTTTATTCCCCACTCTTAACAGGGTTACCCCTAGGATCCTGATAGAATATTGAATCATAATTAAATGGTTGTGATATTTCTCTTAGAACCCCAGCCAGTATGAAGGTAGGTTGGATTAATTAAGACATCCCAGAGAGGGAGAGGATGTAGAATGGAGTGAGAGGGTCCCATGTCACAAATGCTACACCAGCAAATCTGCAAATCTTTTACTTAGACTTAAAATGAGACTCTGGGGTTGGACCTCCAACCTAATAATTTAGACAAGATATGTTTCTCCTGGAAAAGAGATGGCTAAAGACAGTCTTGACTGGTTTCATGAATAATTACGAAGAATAGGGTAACCAGTAGAAAGTCATCAAGAACAGAATGTAAGAAACTGAACTTTGTGATAAAAGAGATTAGAAAGGATTTCCTGGCCATGAGCTTTGAGAAATAATAGAAAGGGTAAAAAGAGAAAATTATGAACTATCCTCCCTTGAGATTTTAGAGAGTGGGCCAGGTGTAGTCTTGCCTAAAGATGCAAAATTTGGAAAATTTTAAAGTCATGGAGGGAAAAGTTTCCTTTTTTTTTTTTGGTGGTGCTGGGGTGGGGTGCACAAAAATGGAGTAGGAAGGCAGTGCTTATTTGGAACCTTTGTTGATCTAAAGTCATTTTATTTAAGAACAGACTGCATTACAGATTACTTTGCTTATAAAGTGATCATTTTTGATATATTTAGAGAAGTGAATGTCAGAACAAAAAAAAAAACCATGAAAACATTTGGTGTATTTTCCATTTTTATTTGATGGATGAAAGAGTATACAAAAGAAGATCTGTGGGGAAAAACAAAAATTCCTCTCCCTAGTTTTCCCACTATTTTTCTAGGCCTTAGCCTCTCTGTTTCTGCCTGCAAACAAGGACATAAGTGACTCTTAAGCTCCTCTGATGACTGTTGGCCATCATTGTATTCAGTCAGTCAACACACATTTATTAAGTATTTGTTAAGTATCATTTACTGTGTGAAGGACTGGGGAGACAAAGAAAGGCAAACATATCTTTGAAGGTTTAACTTTGTCCTCTCCATTTTAGGTTCATTTAAGACTCTTGAAATGAAGGCATCAAGACCCGGCTTATGGCTCTTAGACACTGAGGTCGGAGAAAATCAGATAGCAGGAATGAAAACACCATTCCTTATAATAGATAAAGGTACAATGTGTGTGTATAGCATGATATATTCAGCATGAAAGTATCAATTACAGAACTCTGGAGAAAAGACAAATTCTAGGAATCCATAGGTATTACTGTGAAGTTGTTTGCATAAATTTATGGGCCAGAAGACTTTGCAATAGTCACTCGGTCTTTCCTGTAGACTAATCATTATATGATGGCTCAGTTAATTAGAACATGATACCACTGACAACAAGATTGTGTCTGGTCCATGCATTTGGGTCTGCTTTATTCCATAGGCATAGATCACACAACTGAGAGGTCATCTGTTTCACAAATTAGAAGCACTGGTCACACAGGAGCCAGGAAAAAGAGCATAAACCCATGCCCCAAAACCATATGTTCTCTTAGTGATTAGTGACTAAATTATCTTCATATGCTCATTCAACAATATGATAAACTTATAATTCCGAGCTAAACAAACACTTTCAGAAATTGACAGTTTCCCAAGAAGTCTGGTGAGGAAGCTCCAGGAAATCTGACAGTTACTGCGATGGTTCAGGCTATGAATTGGCATTGATAGTTTCAACACTGGCCATCAGGACATCCTACCCGGGCAGTGGTTGGCATTTCTTTCCATGCTCAGTTTTTGTAGCCTTGACACCCTCAGAATAGCTATAAGAGAGTGAACTTGTTCAAGTGAGAATAGTTGTTCTCTAATTCTCTAAATTCAAGCATATTGAAACTAAGTCAAAAAAACTCTCCCATATTGGTCTTTCACGTGCCTTATGTCCTACCCCTGCTGCAGCACTATTCCAACTGACTAGATGTACCTCTCAAGAGTAATGATATCATTTTACCTGTCATGCTCTAATATATTTAAGATAATGTCAGTAAGTCAACAAGTATTTATTAATTAAGTTCTTATTGTATGCTAGATACTGTGCTAAGCACTGGTGATTCAAAGAAAAACAAAAAATAGTCCTTGTCCTCAAGAAGCTTACTTTCTAATGGGAAAAACAATAAGTAAATAGCTAGGTACACACATGAGATTATAGAGATGTAGATAGATAAATAGATAGGGAGAGAGAGAGAGAGAGAGAGAGAGAGAGGAGAGATGGAAGTTAATTTTAAAAGAGAAAACATCAGCAGCTAGGGGAATTGGGAAAGGCTTCCTTCAGATGGTGGGATTTAAGCTAAGTTTTGAAGGAAGCCAGGAAAACTAAGTAGAGGTGAGTGAGCAAAGCACTCTAGGCACAGAAGACAGTAGTACAGAGGCAAAGAGTAGGGAAATGGAAGATTGTGTGAGAGGATCCCCTACTAGGCCAGTGTAGCTGGATTGGAGATAGTGTGGAAAGGAGTAAAGGCTGGAAAGGTAGGAAGGAGTCAGGTTATAAAGATCTTTAAATGTCAGAGGACTTTATATTTGGAAGCTGAGGCAGGTAGAAGCATTGGATCACCAAGGACTTCAGTAATCATCACCTATACTTTTCTTACCTCTTCTCCACAGAATGCAAGATGCCCATGGGTGTAAGTACTGGCATTATAGCTGATTCACAGATAAGTGCATCTGAGTATCTGGGTAAGCGTGAACACCAATCTCAGTGATATTTTTTCTTCTTGGGAAGTTAAATCCAGTCTGTGATCCAGTTGTGATCGTGTCTGTGTGAAATTTACCCCAGGTCACAGAAGACTTTTTTGTGGGGGAAGGGATAGAACTAGGGCTCTGAAGCTCTCTTTATGTGAAGGAAAAGCTTTATTTATTATTATAATAATAAGGCTCACATTTACATAGTACTTTACAGTTTACAGAGTCTTCCTTAAGTCAACCCTGAGAGATATTAATAATCATTATGTTCCGATAGCTTTTTATGAATTACAAAGCACCTTTCTCACTGCAACCCTGTTAAATAGGTATGTAGCAACCTCAAATTACAAATAAGGAAACAGATGGTCAGAGGTTAAGTGATGTGCCCAAGGTCATTTAGCTAGTATCAGAGCTGAGATTCAAACTCAAGTGTAAAGGTACTAACATTCTGCCACAGTGCCTCTTTTTTTTTTTTTTTTTTTTTTTTTTTTGGTGAGGCAATTGGGATTAAGTGACTTGCTCAGCGTCACACAGCTAGTGAGCATTATGTGTCTGAGGCCGGATTTGAACTCAGGTCCTCCTGTCTCCAGGGCCAGTGCTCTATCCACTGTACCACCTAGGCACCCCCACACTGCCTCTTAAAATAACCTCTGGTAATCTTAATTCATACAAATCATATGGAAGGGGTACTGCACTATGGGAAGTAACAAGCCTCGGAGTCAGAGGATGTGGGCTGAAATCCTGGGTCTGAAACCTTGACCAGTTCCAGACAATAGCTGGGCAATTTTGGACACTCCACCTGCCTGAGACACTGAATTTCTTTGTAGAAGAAACGGGTTAGAACCAGTGATGTACAAGATTCCTTTGAACTCTAAATCCTATAAAAAGTCAAGAAGGAAGTATTTGCTCCGTTCTAACCAATGATGCTGATTTTTGTTTCCAATATGACCCTACCTCAAATGAAACCACACGCAGACGAGAGGGAAGCCACAGCCAACAACCTAGCGAGTTATTGTCCACACAGATTCAGCTTGGAATAATTCGCTGGGTGAGGAGAAGAATAGAATGGACTGAGAGAATATTAAGCCAGGGATAGAACGTCATTAGTATTTTATGATAATGATAGCTTTGTGAGAGTTGCTACTCTACCCCCATAATCTTCTTAGATTCCAAGTGTGAAAGAAAAAAAAAAATTGACCTCATTACTTCATTATCAGGAATTATCAGTTCAAATAAGCAAATGGCCTGTTTCTTGGGGTGGGGGATACAGTTTTCTCCTTAGCAGAGCCTCCTAGTGCTTGTGGGCTCATATCCCTGGTTCTCTTCATCCCCCTGTGGGGGACAGTCTGCCCTGTTGCCCCTGATAAGAGTGTCTTCTGTATTCTGCGGGACATTTTTGGTACCTGTCCCAGGAACAAAAATCCCTACTCATGGCTCTGATGACAGGGATATTCAAGGGATTTCTTTGTTCCTCCTTCATATGCCACCAGTAGGTGCAAGTGGAATAATTGGACTAAATATTCCAATGAACATATTTAATACAATAGACAAGCCAACTCAGTCTCATTCTTGAATCTCCTTCATTCCCTCCCCTCAGATACTGACTTCCTAAGAACAAAACAAAACAAACAAAATAAGCTTTATCTTCACATTATATACACACACATATATATATATACTTATACACATATATTATATGTATATATGTATATACACCCTATACACTCACACACACACACACACACACACACACACCACAGAACTACCACCGAAACTCTACCCTTTAAATTACCCAGATATTGAAACTGCTTTCACTTTCCACCTCACTACATTGAGGTGGTCCAAGTCTGCCCTTATTAGTTCTCAGTCAGCTTGGAAGAATAAAAAACAGAGGTGTGATAATTTAGGGAGGGTGGTGGTAGAAATTTTCCAGCAGATGCTAAGGCTTGGGTGCTGAGGGTCCTGGAGGACTTAGGAAGTAGGGGGGCCAGAAGGAGTGGGCAAATCATTTGTGTATCAGGGGCTGCCTGTAGATGGATTTAAGATTATCAGTTAATTAATCCATCAACAAATATTTATTAAGCATCTGCTCCTATGTGCTAGGCACTGTCTAGGTGCTGAAGATACAAGTACGAAAAATGAGGCAATCTCTGTTTGCAAGGGGCTTAAAGTCTGTTGGAGGAGATAAAAGTACATATAAAAATATATGAAGCTTAAATAGAAAATGAAATACAAATATATGCAAAGGAGTTAAATACAAGGTAGTTTAGTTGGAGGAGAAGGGTATTAGCCTTCGGGCAGAAAACTCATTATGCAAAAGACAATGCTTAAGCAGTTTTTACCTTTCTTGGTAACCTCAGACATTGAGACAGTGCCTGGCACGTGGTAAGTGCTAGCCAAGGATATTTGGTTACTACTGCAAACTCACACCCAACTATATAGTCTCTTTCTTGTAACATAAAGCTAAGAGGGAATTGGATTTTCTACTGGAAAAGTGGTTTTCCACTAAAATTGAGAGTCACTGGATTCCTGATCTTTTTTCAAATTCAATTTCCTTATTTTCTTCCTTCCTTGAAATCTAGGTTATTGGTACCCTAAATTAGCGAGGTTAAAAAATGGTGGATCTTACAATGCTTGGAGTGCACAACAACGACCACGTTCTCCTCTGTCTGAACCCTGGATCCAGGTGTGCCTCAGTACCCTGACAATGTCTGTTATATGTAACTACCCTGCACCCCTTTGATTTGAACTGCATGTTATCATTCTGTTAATACTTGTTAATATTTGGAATGGAAATCAAATCTCTATCTCAAATTAAGGTTGGGCATTTTATCAATCAGACAATCAACAGATATTTCTTAGGCACCTACTATTTGTCTTAGCACTGTAATATATATATATGTGTGTGTAATATATATATGTATATATGCATGTACATATACAATATATGTATAATATACATATGTGCGTATACACACGTGTGTATATACACACGTGTATATATACATATATATGTATGTATATACACACATATCAGAGGGCTGGGATTGGAGTCAGGAGTCAAGGGTCAGGAAGACCTGGGTTCAAATTCTGCCTTTGATATGTATTAGTCATGAGACCCTGGGCAAATTACTTAATCCCTCTGAATCTCAAGTAACTCTGTAAGTATATAATAGCAATAGGTAATATTTAAATAGCTATTTACAATCTACAAAATACTTTACCTACATTGCCTCATTTGATACTGCTTCTGCTACTTACTGCCTATGTGTCCTGGCATCCCTCCTATCTATAATTCTATGAGTCTATAGTTCTTGTGAAGTAAGTTCTATCATTATGCCCATTTTACAGATGAGGAAACTAAAGCTTAAAGGTTAAATGTCTTGCCCAGGGTTCAGAGCCAAGTAAATGTGTAAGGTGGGATTCACACTCAAGCCTTTCCTGACTCCAAATATAGCAATCTATCCACTATGGCAACCCATTTCTGTCTACATATTTGGATTGGATGTACTAGATGACATAAGGGTATAGTGAAAGCATCTAATAAGCTCTCTGCCTTCAAGGGGCTTACAATCTAGTTCTATGGAAGATACCTCTGAAGAAAAACATTTTTCAGAGCAAGCAAAAAGCATTAATTACTTTGCACACCAGGATGACCATTTGATGCATCTGCTTCTATTACAGGTGGACTTTAAAAGAGAAGTTGTACTTACTGGGATACAGACCCAGGGAGCCAAACAGTACCTGACATCCTACTACACCACCCAGTTCTATGTTGCCTATAGCTCTGACAAAAGAACGTGGCGGTACTTCAAAGGAAACAGCACTTCAAAACAGGAGGTAGGTAGGTAGGTAGGGAAAGAGAGAGAGAGAGAGAGAGAGAGAGAGAGAGAGAGAGAGATGGATGGATATATTTCTGGATAACGGGAGATGACTGTGAAATAGTCTTTTTGAGGTGTTAGAAGCTATAACTCCCTTTCTAAATGGCTTATTTAGTGGTGGGTGCTATGGATAGCCCACTAAAAATATGGCCCCGACTCCAGAGAGCTCCCAATCTAGAAAACATGACCAAATGACACAGGAACCAAACTTGTGATTTCAGTGATATGGTGAACTCTCAGTTAAGGACATGACCTGTACCAGTGTGGATCAACGTATTAAAATCTTAAGTTTCCAGAGCCTTGAGAGGTCAAAGTCATAGATCCTGGGTGCATCAGAAGCAGGACATGAACCCCATCTTCCCAGACCCAAGGTCAATTTTCTGCCACGCTACTGTGCTACCTCCCTGACTATTAACAGTAACCCACATGTTCTCCCCATGGCAGACACTCTACAATACAACAGGCTAAAACAAATAGAACCATGTTCTTAGACCTCAAGGAGTTTGCATTCATTCTACTTGCTAAGTTGATCTTCATGCTTTAAAAATTTTGTTATGACTTGAACGCCATGTAAGGAGGGCAAAGTGTTATTATAATACTCTAAGGAATAGGTAACATTATTCTGTTTCTATTAACAAGAGGAGGTAGGGCTGGCATAGGTGTCAATTTTAAATAAGAAACTAGATGGCAGAGTCTACAAACATTCATCAACATTTAAATGTCCTTGACCTGTTTTTCTATAACATTTCATAAAAAGAAAAAGTAAGCATCAAGTTTTCTGCAGTAGGCCTCCCTCCCTAAATGAACCCTGAAACACAGGCTTAGGCCCATTCTATTTTCAAATGCAAAGAGGCTTATATTTATTCTAATAACAGTAAATCTGGAGGCTCTCTTTATTGATTTCAGTTCTAAGGTTAAACAGCAAATAAGGAAGTGTCAACCATGCAGACTTTTTTATTCCAGAATCAATCAGTCATTCAGCAAGCATTTATTAAGTTCCTACTGTATCCAGATGCCAGGATACAAAGTCAGAAAATAAAACAATCCCTATAGTAGCACAGTGACTAGAGGGCCAAACCTAGAGTCAGGAAGACCTGAATTCAAATACTGCCTCGGACACGTACTAGCTGTGTGACCCTGGGCAAGTCACTTAACCCTGTTTGCCTCAGTTCCTCATCTATAAAATGAGTTGGAGAAGGAAATGGCAAACCCCTCTACCATCTTTGCCAAGAAAACCCCAAAGCCACAACTGAAACAAGTGAACAACAACAAAATTCTCAAGGACCTTAAATTCTACTGGGAAAGACATTGTATATATGTACAGAATAAATACAAAATAAATACAAATTAGTTAAATACAGAGTAGTTAGGGAGAGAAGGCATTAATCTGTTGGGGGAAATAGGCAAGGTATCCTATGGTTAAGATACGTTCCAGAATTTTAAAGTAGCCTAAGTCAGTTTCACAGTTTCCACGAAGCTAACTGACTGGAAGGATTCTTCTTTGACCTCTACCCAACTCTTTTCTGTGATACTAGACCACAAATAAAGACTATTCAAAGGAATTGGCTGTCTTTGCCCTGGAATAACAGAGTCAGGTTTTCAAGATAGCAAAACTCTAGAAGACCTGTGCTAACATCTTCTCTGTAGGCTTGGAAACGGAACTCACCTCAACAGGGTTTACATGCCTACTCTGTGCATGGAACTGTGCTGCTTACTGGAGCTACATAGACAGAAATGAAGTTCTTCTTGGCCTCACAGGCTGCGTTCTACTGGAGCATATGACCTGGACATTGATTGAGATCTACAAAGAATGGGCAAAATGATACAAAGTGATGTCAAGAGGGAGAGATGATTGAGCTATGCCTCAATGGTCATAACCTTTTTCTTCTTCCATTGACCCCTTGGACAATCTGGTGAATCCTATGTATTCTTCTTCAGAATAATGTTTTAAAAAACATGAAATGAAGTAGATAGGATTACAAAGGAGAGGATTTTTTTTGATGATTTATCCCTGATTTTTCCTTCTAGTACTTTGAGGGTAATTCAGATGCCTCCACCATCAAAGAAAATCTCTTTGACCCACCCATTGTGGCTAAATACATTCGGATCTCCCCAACCCATGCCTACAACAGACCTACCCTCCGTCTGGAATTGCTGGGCTGTGAGGTCCAAGGTAAGGAATGAGGATTTACTGGCTCTTCCTCTACTAGGGATAGAAACAGGTTTGGTAGAACAGATCACTGATAGATTGTTTTCAGTGACTTAGGAAGATTGCTCCAGTTTTCAGTGTGTCCAACAGTTTGTGTGGCAAGAAGGATGAGGAGGGAATAGGAGACAGGAAGGAGGAATAAGAGTAAACTTTCTGTGATGCTTTAGGCACTTATATCACATTTTATTTAAGATATAAAATATTATAATTGTTATATTAAATATAAAATAAAATATGCTATAGTATTAAATATAGAATAAAATATACTACTGTTGCGATCTGGGAGGTTGAGACCCCTCAAAGACTGAAGTACAGGATGGGGTCGCCTAGAATGAATTCACAGACTTAAGTATTCTTTAAGTCAAGGTGGCAAAAATTTGTTATGCTTTTCAGTGGGCAAGGATTCTTAAGGAAACTGCAAGAGACTGAGCTAGGGTTTATACAGAAAAGGGCATGGGAAAGGAATGTCAGGGACATTGATGAGGTAATCTAAAGGTCCAGGCATCTTTGGGAGATATGGATGAGAAAGTACAGGGAGTATACCAGCCAGGGAGGGAGATGACAGAAGTATGGGTCTTAGGAGTCTGGCAGGAGGAAGAGTCCTTGGGCTGGCCAAGGACAAAACTCCTTGGGCTGGGCAAGGCACCCCTCTCCCTCTGTCTTGATGAGAGAATGCTCTGCAACACGGGAAAGCTTTCTCACAAAACAGGAACTTACTAAGGAATTGGGAGGCTTCCAGAGACATGATCTGAGGGCTGGGGCCTGAGCAGCCCAGCACTCTCTCACCCAGCTTTGTGTAGCTGAACCAGGGAGAGAGATAAGAGTCTTGCTGGGGCCCACGCATGAATAACTGCTAGGCACAGTGTCCTTGGGCTGGGGAGTGGTTGTCGGAGACAGTGTTTCTGAGACTAGGGAGAAATTGGGGTCCAAGTACAAGCACAAGCACCCAAGCACCCCATCACTACCATATTAAATATATGATAAAATATATTTTATTAAGTATCATTAAACAATAAAATATACTTTATTAAAAAGTATGTTAAATATAATAAATAGTTCTACTAAATCAATAATAAAATGTGTGATTGTATTAAATAAATAATATAATTTTGTTAAATATATAATAAAACATATAAGTGTATGTTTGTTGTTATTAAATGATAGATACATTAAATGGTATCTATAATATTGAAAATATAAATGTTACAATAAATAATAAAATAAATTAAATGTTTATTTTATTTTGAGAAATGTGGGGCTCAAGTGAGCCCCACAACAACTCTGTGAGCTAGGTAGGTCCCTCAGGCATTATTATCCCCATTTTGCATATGAGGAAACTAAAACTTAAACAAATTAAGTGACTCTTCTATGTCATATACTTAGTAAGCTTTAGAGATGGAACATGAACACTGTTCTTTAAATCTGCATCAACACACTATCCACAACCCCAAATGGAAATTTTGAAGTATGGATTAAACTTAGGGAGTATTGGTCTTCCCCCATAGGGGTGGGGAACCTGCTGCCTCCAGGCCACATGTGGCCCTAGTACAGCCCTTTGACTAAATCCAAACTTCACAGAACAAATCCCCTTAATAAAAGCATTTGTTCTGTAAAACTTGGACTCAGTCAAAAGGCCACACCCAAGGACCTAGAAGGGCACACGTGGCCTACAGGCTGCAGGTTTCCTACCTTTAACTAAACTATCACTGTGCCCTGGAATGGTAGGCTTCAGATGAGAAGGAAGTATGCCATCTGCACTGGAATCCTGGTCTCACCTCTTGGTCTGCCAACCAGAGTATCACCTGCCATCACTCTAAGTGTTCACACATACTTGTCCCAAAGGGAGTATGCCTGAAACTGTGCCCATTTCAGATAAGAACAACATTTGATTATGATGACTTCTCAAGAATAGATTAATTCAGTTTAGTATGTTTTCATTTTTTAATATGATTATGATGATTGCTTTTCTAGTGTTCAACCATCCTTATATCCCTTGTATAAATTGAAATGAGTCATAATTCCTTGATAAATTGGTATAATTTGTTTGAAAGGATTTTATTTAAAAGTATGAATTGATATTCATTATTGATATTAGTCTATCATTCTTTTCTTTATCTTTCCCTAGTTTAAGTATTAAAATATATTTTTCTCATAAAAGGGGTTTGGTAGAGTATATCTTTCTCAGTTTTTGAGAATAAATTGATTAGTATTCATTGTTAGTAAAAGTTTGATAGAATTCTCCAGTAAATCCATCAGGACCAGGAGGTTTTTTTTCCCCCCTTTGGGCAATTCCTCTATAGCTAGTCCTGTTTCCTTTTCAAAATTGGATTACTTAAGATTTCTATTTGGTCTTCTATCATTTGAATATTTTATATTTTTGAAGGCATTCTTCTATTTCTTTTGTGTTCTCAGTTTTGTTAGCATGTAACACTACAAAGTAGGTTCCCATAATTCTTTTTATTTTTTCTTGCTTTGTCGTGATTCCACCTTGTATTTTATCTATTTGAATTTCTGCCCTCTCCTTTTTAATCAGATTTGCTAAAGTTTTATCAATTCTTTGGTAGTCTTGTCAAAGAACAAGCTTTTAGTTTTGTTCATTATTTCTATAGTCTTTTTTTTTTGTCTAACCAGGTTCCGAAACCAAGTACAAATTCCAAGTATTCAGACTTACCCTGTAATCCTACCTGCAACATTATACAATAGATAAAATACATGACATTTATTAGCTATGTGACCAGAGGCAAGAAACTTAAACTCTGAAGACTTTTCCTCATAAAGCGAGAATAGTAACACCTAACCTCCCACAATTACTGTAAACCTTCTTTAGTGAGATATTGTTTGCACCACCAAGCTGCCCTGAAAAGCCTCTTTACAAAAGATGACATTTTAGCTGAAATTTAAAGGAAACCACAGAAGCTAGCCAGGTGGAGATGAGGAGGAAGAGAGTTCCAGTCTTGGAGACAGCAAGTAAAACTGCCCAGAGTTGATAGCGAGAGAGTGTAGTTCAAGGAACAACATGAAGGCCAGTGTCACTGGATTGCAAAGTAGGTATCAGGGTGGGGGAGGGGAGGAGGTAGGAGGAAGTGTTAGGAGTAAAACAATTTGAAAGATAGGAAGGGTCCAGATTATGGAGGGTTTTTAAAAAGCAAAAAAGACAATTTTATATTTGACCCTGGAGGCAACAGGGAGCCACTAGGATTGACCGAATAGGAGATGGAGAGAGAGGAGTGACATGGTCAGACCTCAGCTTTAGAAAGGTCAACGTGATAGCTGAGTACACTGGAATAAGGAGAGACCTGGGCTGGGGAGACCAACTAGCAGGCTCTTGCAATAATCTAGGTATGAAGTGATGAGGGGCTGCTCCAGGGCAGGCAATGTCATAGCGGAGAGGGAGGAGATGTTATAAAGGTAGAAATGACAGGACTTGGTAACTCATTGGGGGATGAGGGATAGTGAGGAGCTCAGGATGGTGCCTCAGTTGCAAGCCCAGGTAGGTCCAAATCCACATGAAATATGTTAAAGAAGCAAAAATTCTATTCTGTATAACAAGGGCGAATGAGTTTTCTCACCCACTAATCCTTCCATCTCTATTCTCATGTATCTTGGTACCATAGAGGGAGGAAGAAGTTGTATTTCCTAGTAGAAAAGATAAAACTGAACATGGTATCTCCCTCAAGGGGAACTAGTTTGTCTTTCTCTATAATTTTGGTTTAAAACACAGTGAAGCCCCGAATGTTAGAAATATGCACCTTTCCTGAAACCTAGGGTCTATTCTAGACTCAATGACCTTTTAAGTTTTTCATGATTCTCTTAACCATACGTTCTCTGAATGCAAGGGTCATGTCAAGCATTTCTTGTATGCTCCATAGCATGTAACACATAGTACAGCTCAACGAATGTCTGTTAATTAAATCGTGGTGATTTCCTCTTGACAGGTTGCTCCACCCCTCTGGGTATGGAAAGTCGAAAGATAGAAAATAATCAGATTACAGCTTCATCAACGAAGCAATCTTGGTTGGGAGATGCCTGGTCACCCTTCTACGCCCGTCTCAATGCTCAAGGTCGTGTGAATGCCTGGCAAGCCAAGGTAAAACTTCCACAGTGAACAGTCGTGTCCAAGTTCTCATGGATTAAAACAAAGAAACTGTAGTAGACAGGACCAAGAGACTCTGTTAACAGGAACCATGTCTCCTGTTTATACTTAGTAAAATTCTAGAGAATGTGGTAGCTATAGCACATATACTTGGACTAGAGAAAAATCATGTCTGACCTACACAGGTCTGAGGGGTTTAACTTTCATGTATCATTGGTGATTTCTAAACTTTTTGGAGTTGCAATATCCTTAGTGAATTAATTCCTTATTATTGTTAACTATATAATTATATATAAATATATATATTATATAAATATTATTATTAACTTATATGATTAACTTAGTGAATCTAACAATTTTACTCTTTTTAAAAGGACAATTAGTTAGTTTTAAAAATTAAAATGTAGGTAGGATGGTACAGTGGAAAGAATGCTAAACTTAGAGGCATAGGACCTGAATTGAATTCTCAGCTCTTCTTACTATTTGACCTTAGGCAAATCACTGAACTTCTCTGACTCAGTTTCCTCATTTGTAAAATGAAAAGGGTTGGATTAGATAACTTCTCAGGTCTCTTCCAGCTCAAGATGTCTGAATCTCTGAATTGATTTTGTATTGTTTCAACGTCATGATCCCCTGTGTGATCACTGCTGTTCTCAAACCAGTCTAAGTGCTTCCTTCCATTGATTAAACACAATTCAAAGTGCTAATATGAGCAATGATGAGAGTCCATCAACCATTAAAGTTCTCCTCTGATCCCTCATCATGGCATGAAGTGACCTTGGGTTCTTGAAGTCTGTGTCAACAAAATTAGAGCTTGGGCAAGTCCTGCTAAGCTGAAGAGTCTTCAAATCCAAGTTTGTCAATGGTCACCAGAAAATGATTTTTTTTTAATTGCAACCACATACTAAGGCTTAGAGGAATTGTAAGTACACATCAATAGAGGAGGTGCCCCCACCAATGGAATTATATATATTTGATAAAAGAAGAGGTTGATCAGATATATTGGGGTCAATTGGTTTGAGTATAAATGTTCATTTTTGACACACTTTGGGGGGTTAGTTTTCTCTTCCACATTGCTGTGTAGTCAAAATTAGGTAGATAACCTTACAGAAAACTAACAAACCTAAACAATGAGCACTTCCTTCTCTTCAGATGCCTGAAGCATTAGCCTCTGAACCCTATATAGCATTCCAGGAGTTTCCCCCCAGGGGAAGTTACTAGGAAGGCACAGGGAGTTTCCCTATACATGAAGTAAAAAAGTACATAACTCTAAAGGGTGACTCTGCACTGAGTTCTGATGTTCTAAGAAGAACCAGACATATCTAGGAATTTCACCTTTAGATCAAAATACATATAGGATCATAGCATCATAGAATGCTGGAGCAGAAAGGACCCTACAAGATTGTCTTATCCACCCTCCTCATTTGACAGATGGGGAAACTGAGACCCAAAGAGGTGAAGTCATTTATCTAGAGTCACATAAAATTCCCTCTCCTGACTCTTTCACTTCATACACTGTTTGTCTTATCAAATCCATCTAAAATTTATAGCTGGTACCCAGACCTATGTGATAAAACCAACAGTAGTGAAAAATTCATTTTGATTCTTAATTTCTAAAATCACTTGAGTTGAGAAGTTATGCATCCCGATTTTAAAATTCCTCTCCCTTATACCTGTACTCCTTTATTTAGGGGGGTTACAAATCAAAGAAAGACGGAGAAAGGTAAAGACACATGGACACAATTAGCCCTCTCCTCTTAATTTACATTTCTCTGATATTCCTTTTTCTTCCCAACCAAAATCCTGTAGCTGCTTTTTTCTAAATCAGTGTTATCAAGTCATGATTTTAGAGGACTCCAAAGTGCCTCTGACCATTTTAAAGATTGTTGTGAATTTTTTAAATTCCTCAAACAAAATGTTTCATTTTCTTTACATTTTAATTCCATAGAGTATATACTTTTATTAGCGAAGGCTGGGCAGGAGAAGAGGGTGGAATGGGTATGTCAAATAAACAACACTGTGGTGTTGCAATTCCAAAAGTCAGTGAATCATTGTTCTAAATATATTTAGTTGAGTTCACAGGACAGGTGGAATCTCCCAAAGATTCTGTTCCAATAAGCCTGTCACTCACCGAGCTTCATCTGCCCCCATCAATGCTCCCTCATTCATCATCTAAATGAGGCTGAATCTGGGGTGAGGTCATCTTTACCTACAGCATCTCTGATTAAGCCACAGGTACTGCAAGACTGAATTCCCTCCCAGGTGGTAGGTGATGTAGTTGTCAGAATCCTTATCAAAGCAGGACAACTAAACATTGTGTTATATATGATGAGAGAAATAATGAACTTTTCCTTCTTAGTGGTAGCATTGCAGAAGAAACTCTCCCTGTCACCCTGGGGCCGTTCCCATAGCCAGCCAAGCTCACCCTGCTCTTTCACCCTTGTAGGACTTTTAGGGGAAAAAAATTACACACACACACACACACAGACACACACACAGACACACACACACACACACACACACACAAACCCCTTCCTGAAGTGGATGTGAATGGAAATGTTGCAAAACTGCTCTCATTTTGACAAAGGTCCTATTTTATTAGCGTGAGAACAAAACATTAAGGAAGTTTTGTGTTTTTTTTTAAATGGGGGAGGGGGTCAAGTTCCATCCTAAAGGATGCATCACTATTCAATGGCTAAACACATAGCAGTATGTGTGTGTGTGTGTGTGTGTGTGTGTGTGTAAATGTTATTATTATTCCCATTTGCATTTGAGGAAATTGAGGCAGATAGAAGTTAAAAGACTTGCCCAAGGTAGCACAGCTTGTCAGTATATTAGATTAGAATTGGATTTAGGTATTCCTGACTTCAGGCCCAGAACGCTGAAGACCACAACCTCTCTTTAAAAATGGACAAAAATACTGTTGGACATAAAGATGAATGAAACTCAGTCACTGCTTCCCAAGGAACTTACAAATCAAGTATGGGAAACAAACACATACACAAATAATTACGATATAAAAATAAAATGTGCTATGTGTATGAATGGTATAAATGCAGGGTTCTTGAAGGTCAAAGGAAGGAAAGATAGTTTCTATCTTTCTGTCTTGTTTTTGCTTGGGATTCTGATTGGATCTATCTAGTTTCTGATTGAGAGAAAACAAGGGAGGCATGTGATAAGGAGAAAGACAAAAAGGGCATTTCTCAGTCAGGGAATGAATGGCATGAACCAAGGCAGAGAGGTGCAAATGCGTGGGACAGAGGGGCATAGGATTTTAGTGCTAGAAGGACGTGCAGAGATCAACTAGTCAAATGTGCTCATTTTACAAGTGAGGAAAAAAGGGATCCAGCACCTCCACTCACCTCTCAACTCCTGGCAAGTTGGCTGCCAGCCCCACGGCTCAGCTGAAACTACTCTTTCCAAATCACTGCTTATCTCTCAATTGCCAAATACAATGGCTTTTTTTCTCAGTCTCTATGCTTTATCTCTTTACAATGTTTGACATAGTTGACTGTTTCCTAGTAAGTGCCCTTGAAAGTGAGTGTGTAGGAAGTAGAATAATTGGTACAGGTCATTATTTGAACTACTTTGAAGAAGTCTGGAAGAGAAAAGAAGGGGAGAGATGTGGGATATGAGCAGATATGTATTGAAGCCTGGCGGTGCTGGCTCCAGAAAGCTGATTATTAAATATTCCGTATAAGCATTTATTTACATTTCAGAAATCAGCAAATGCTACAAATCAGAGCTTGATTTATAGTTGGTTAATTGCTTAGACTTAAGAAAGTGATAGAGAAAATGTTTATAATGCAGATTAAAAGTAAAAGTATACCATGGGTATTTTCTTTCAGAGAGTCAGTTATTTAACCAACATATCATTGGGTACAAGGCTTTATTAGAAGGGGTTTTTGTTTGTTTCTTCATCTAGATCTGAGCTTGTTCGTAGGCAAAGGGCAAAAAAACCAGCAGAGAAAAAAATTAAAAATGTAAAAACAAGAGTGAATGATTGATGGAATAAAGTCCTAGAGGAGATAATAAAGGGCCAAATTAAGGGTGCAGTTAGATAGGTTAGCCTTGGTAGGGAGTAAGGTTTTGAGAAGGAAAAGAAGATAGGACAGGTGAAGGCACAGAAAAGTTTTAATATCGGGAAGAAAGTGGAAGTAACTTGTATAATGAAAAGAATACTGGATTTCAAGTCAGAGGACTTGGGTTTGAATTCTGGCTGTTCATTACTGAGTGTTTTACTGCAGGCAATCCACTTAAACTTTCTGGGTCCCATTTTCTTCATTTGTAAAATGAGAGAGTAAGAATAAATTAACTCTGAGATATCTTCCAGCTGAAAAATCCTATAATGCTGCAAAATTGAGGGAACTAAGATCACATAGCTTTGATCTCAATAACAGAAGAGAGGAGGTCAATTTGCTTGGAGTGTGTGAAACTTGGGAATACGGAAAGGTTGCCAAAACTTCCACTGGGGATATGATATGGTGTCAGTAACAGCTGATTAAAAGAATTTCTGGGTAACAACAAATGTTCAGCTGAGACTATGCAATACATTTACATTGGATGAAATTAGTGTTATTTCTTGGTTTCTCCAATAACACCCAGCAGCCTGGGAGCGGAAATGGAGAGAGGAATTCAAGGGTGCAAGAAATTTCAGGGTAGTGGCTAGCATTTGCCTGAAGCAGGGCACCGTCTTGTTTCTCTAAAAATCATTGCTAGGCTTTTCTGGCAAACCTGCCTAAAAGGAGGGATGTTATCTCTCAGAGCATCAAAAAGTGGGATGGGGTCTCAGTGGGCATCCAATGGGCATCAATCACTACCTGCACAAGATGCCACTCTATAACCTACCCTGTAAGTGGACAACCAGCCTTGGTTTGAAAACTCCCAGTTAGGAGGGATCCTTGTGAGGCAGTGCATCCCACTTTTGTATAACCCATTATTAAGGAAGTTTTTCTTTGCAGCATCTACCCATTGTTCTTTATTCTCCTCTGAGAATGTCTAATCCCTCTTCCCTGTGCCAGCTTTTCAGCTATTTCAAGACAGAAATCATATGCCCTAAAGTCTTCTATGAATCCACGATCCATCTGAAATAGCCCACAAAGAATCCCCCATCCTTTTATCTTTCCCTTTACGATCCACGTCTGTAAATATTGTCCATCTAAAAGCTCTCGTCTCATCAAACCGTCTCACCAAAGTGTCTTTCTAACTTTCTTAGTCAAAGAACAACAGGCAGTGGCTGCAGATAGACCTGCTCAAAACCAAGAAAATAACAGCGATTGTAACCCAAGGAGCCAAGTCTCTCTCAAGTGAAATGTACGTGATGACTTATGCTATCTTCTACAGTGATCACGGCACAGAATGGAAACCTTATAAGGACAAGTCGTCCATGACGGAGAAGGTACCATGTGATGTCTTAGCAAAGAGATAATAATGCAATCCCTAAGATAGGGACTTGGGAAAGTGATATCTAAATCCCTCTGACACCATTGCCTGGCCTTATAACTCTAGGTTTGGGTTAGAAACTGAATTTTAGAGCTGGAAGGAAACCTGGAAGTCATGTAGTCTAACCCTTGCATTTTAAACACAAGCTAACTGAGAAGCCAACTAGAGGTCAGTGATTGGTCCAAGTTTACACAGTTAGTTACTGGCACTTTCTATATTTAGATTGGTCCAATTGTGAACTGGATAAAGACCATTTTTATTTGGAGGGGTAATAATGTTTGAAGATGGGGGCAGCTAGGTGGCACAGTGGCATAGTGGCCCTGGAGTCAGGAGGACCTGAGTTCAAATCCGATCTCAGATCAGACACTTGATACTTCCTAGCTGTGTGACCCTGGGCAAGTCACTTAACCCCAATTGCCTTGCCCCTCCCAAAAATAGTGTTTGAAGATTTAGTATTATTATTATTATTATTATATAAAAATCATTCTTTTTGATATCATTTGGTGAAAATCAAATTAAAAAGACTTTGCAATAAATCACTATGCTACTTGAGATATATATGTTTTATTTACACACACACACACACACACACACACACATACATCTTCCTGAAGTGGATGTGAATGGAAATGTTGCAAAACTGCTCGCATTTTGACAAAGGTCAAAAGTTCCACAGACTAGTGCACAAGTGAATAGTGTAACTGCTTTTGGTATCTGAATAAAAGTATTAGGATTTGAGATTATTAATATTGTCACTAATTATTCTGGGGATTTTTATTATTTAATTAAATTCTATATACCCTGATGATAAACTTTTGTGTGGTATTGATTCTGAAGCAACAAGGAAGGTCCTCTGGTACAGGGTGTGGGAAACCAGGGTTCCTTAAAGCTGACCTGCTATATCATGCCTCTAATTTCTTCCTGTGTCATGAACAGCTTACTTAACTGGTTCCTTGTGTTAGAGGTCCTACCCAAAGGTTGAATTGGCAATTGCCAGCAGTGAGGGTAGCCATTCCCAGAAAGGGAAAAATACATGTCATCAACAAACATTTACAGATCAAGGCTTTGCTATGAGCTAGGCAATAGGTTAAGTATTGGGATACAAAGAAATCTCTGCCCTCAAGGAGCTCTGGTAGTGGAAACAGGACATTCCTTCATTTATTCATATAGCCTGGCATACTGCTAGGCACTGGCTAATAACAGCCAACAGTCACATAGCTATTTATAGTTACATCATTATCTCATTTGGTCTTCCCCACAAAACTAAGAGATAGTACAACTATTATTATCCTCCATTTCAGATGAGAAAACTGAGGCTCACAGAGGTTAAATCACTTGTTCAAGATCACATAGCTTGTAAGCAGCAGAGCTATGGCCTGAACTCAAGTCTTCCAGCCCTAAACCCAACATTGTGCTATCTTAATTGCAGTTTCAATTTTGAAACAAACAAACAAACAAGACAAGTTAACGTTTCCTAACTGGAGAAATGTCTTTACTGAAGCTCTAGCTACCTACCCTTCCTCTTTATTAGCTTCCTTCATCTTCTGTCTCAACCTAGAAAACACATGCCCAGGCAAAGTCTATGATGAGGTCACAAAAGCATCTTTATTCTACAAGGAGGAGGGGGAGGAACAGGAAGTGCTGCAAACTCCCCATCTAAATTAAAGGGCATAAGGAGTGTCTCTGTATATCTTTCTGTATGCCTTTCTAGCACTAATTCTTTTCTTATTCTTTATTTTCAGATTTTTGTGGGAAATGTTAATCCTAAAGGACAGGTCAAGAATTTTTTCAACCCTCCCATCTTTTCCCGGTTCATCCGTTTCGTCCCCAAGTCATGGAATCAAAGCATTACTGTTCGATTAGAACTCTTCGGTTGTGATATTTACTAGAGCTGGGGTAGATATTATGCATTCAAAAGCAGAGCAATACCCTTTGAGTCCTCAAAGAGTAGTAGCTTTAGCACTGGTTGTCTGTTTTATAGTTATTTTAAATGTCAGACTTCAAAAGATTTTTCCACTGTTGCCTTTTTCCCTCTTATCTAGTAGAAGCTGGGGTTTTGTCCATGAGGTTTTCTAGTTTATTTTTTCCCACCACAAAATAAGACGATAGTTCTGATTGATTACATTAACGTGGAAAAATAATATTGAAGGTTATTAGTACCCAACTGAATTAAAGCATTGTTGATCACAAATGGAATCTTGATTGTTACTCCAGAATACCTGAATTTGGGTAATTTTTAGCCCAGATGCCCTCATTGGCATAGGCTATTAATAGTCTCAATGTGTTGTACTCATTTTTCCAGGAAAGTGATTTTCAGTCATGAACTTGAAGCATTTGGAAAGTTGGTCAGAGATGAGATGAACCGTTTCAAGGTTGGCGACTTTTAAAACCCTGTGAAGTCACCAGTGAAAAATCTTTACTATTTTGCAATAATAAACTATGATGCAATAAGTTTCTTTTGTTATGTTTCATAATATAACCTTATCATGATGATTTTTAAATATCAACCTGATGTTTCGCATCATTAGCTGCTGAGGTGAATAATAAAGGAGAGGGGTCTTGGTGGTAATACTTGTTTATTGGTTGTATGCTTGCCTACGCTCCTTTTGTCCAAATTAAAGGAAGGAGTGCAAATAATCTAAATATAGAGAAAAGGTACACAGTCCTATAAATATGAATCATTTTCCTTACAATGGAGATAACAATTCGCTGCTGTTCAGTCATTTTCAGTCATGTCTGACTCTTTGTGACCTAGTTTGGAATTTTCTTGGCAAAGTTACTGGAGTGGTTTGCCATTTCCTTCTCCAGCAAATTTTACAGATGAGGAAACTGAGGCAAATAACATTTAGTCACTTGCCCAGGGTCACACAGCTAGTAAATGTCTGAGGCCAGATTTGAATTCAGAAAGATGAATCTTCCTGACTCCAGGCCCAGCATTCTATCCACTGCACTACTAGCCACCTGAGAAAATGATCATATCCTGCAAAATCGTGTCTGTTTATAGGGACAAAACATGCTATCCTTCATTTATGAAAAGATGTCTGTAGCCCACCCTAAGGAGAGTAAGCATCTTAAGTGGTTTTTTCCCAGTAGTCATGATGACTTTGTTCTGATATGTTCATAATTTCATAATGTATCTGCCCCTTTTGTTCAATAGTACGCTATTTTTAAATGAGTGGCCAGGGTTAGGGAGTATAGTTTCCAGACAACAAATGGAATGAAATAGATGAATAATCCCTTGCCTGCAGTTAGTGTTTGATAAATTTGTTAAATAAATGTGTGATGTATATGCATATAAGGATTCAAGCTGTGGCTTTCATTGGCTTCAATAATAGCTGAGAGGAAGGAAGGAAAGAAAGGATGGAGGAAAAGAAGGAAGAAAGAGAGGGAGGGATGGTAGGAAGGAAGGAAGGAGAGAAAGAAGGAAGGGAGGAAGGGATGGAGGAAAAGAAGGAAGAAAAAGAGGGAGGGATGGTAGGAAGGAAGGAAGGAGAGAAAGAAGGAAGGGAGGAAGGGATGGAGGAAAAGAAGGAAGAAAAAGAGGGAGGGATGGTAGTAAGGAAAGAAAGGGAGAAGGGAGGACGGAAGGGAAGAAAAGGTACTTATTAAGCACTTATCATGTGTCTAGCACTGTTCTAAATGTCATATAAATATAAAAGCAAAGACTGTCTGTACTCCCAAAGAGCTTAACATTCTGACAGTGGGAGACAGCCAGTGGTATGCTGGTAAAAGCCTAATGACCAGCTCTTTTTTAAAAAAATGTACGCATCTTTAAATTTAATCTGTATTAGGAACATTTCTCTATTAATTCCTTTAGTCTAGACTCGGTGACAATCAACAGAATAAGAAATCAAGCTCTGATTTGTAACAGTTGCCGATTTTCAATTGTAAATGCTCACACAGAAAATTTATCAGTTCAAGCTGGCCACAGCACAGCCCTGGACCATGTATGAGGAAGTGGTGACCAATGAAGGGTATTTTGTTTTGGAAAGTGACAGAGGTGGCAAGTGGTTCCCTAAGGGAATAGAATGACACATCCTTTCCAGGAGCAATGACAGAATCCATTTGGTTATTGATGAACTGGAAGGAGGAGCAGTGCAGAAGGGACAAGGTGGTGGCAAGGCAGCCAGTAGGAAGATGACAAGGCTAAAGTGAAGCACGGCTGTAGCCAGGCCTTGATGTAGTGGGTGGCATGAGGCAACCCCCGATCAGGGCAACTGACTCCATGGTATCCATCAGTGAGCTCTGAACAAGCACCCACTATGTATCAAGCACTAGGTTAGGTGCTAGGAGTTCAAAGATAAAATGGAACAATCCCTATCCTGGAACTTTGAGAAGGAGATGAGTGGTGTGGATAAATACACTATAACACGAGTTAGGGTTAATAGTAACATTTCCCATGATGCCTCCATTTCAGGAAGAGGCAAGTTCCTACTTCAGTTGTAAAGTTAGGATTCACTGGAATGGAAGAAAGTTAAGTTTCTACCTTGTGAGCCTAAAGGGTTGGGTGAGGGAAGAGGTAAATGATAAGTCATGAAATGGACAAACACCATGATGTCATGGACAGAAAACTGGATTTGGAGCCAGAGGACCCAGGTTCAAATCTGAGACCTTGAGTAAATCACTAACCTCTCTAGGTCTCTGTACATGTGTAAAATGAGGGGGTTTGAACTAGATGTCTTCTAAAGTACCTTCCTCCTCTGAATATGTTTTATCTTATGATCTTGACTCTCAGCCTCTTAGAGCTCCTAGTTTCTTTCAAAGCTCAGTTCAAACATAAGCCTCAAGCATGAGGCCTTTTCTGACCCTCTCCCAGCTGCTAGTGCCTTCCTACTCTTCACTGCCCCCCATTAACATGGATTTATTTTATATGTATTTGCATCTATATCTGCATGTATGCATCTCCCCTGATAGAATGTAAGTTCCTTAAGGACAGAGACTGTTTCATTTTGTGTCTCTGTGACCCAGTGCCTACCACAGTGGCTGGAACATAGAAGCTTCTTAATAAACATTTGACGATTGCTGGTTTGTCTTGAAGAGAGGAGATTTGTAATCATGAACAAAACCCTGTTCCACAGACTGACCTTCTGTCATTCCCTCTCCAATTAACGTTGTCCTTCCCAACCCCTACTTCCAACTCTGAAATTGCCCAGTATAATTTAGACCTCTCTTTCAGTCCTAAACTATCGATTTCATTTCTTCTTTGGTCAAAAAAAAATAATAGGAATTAGTAGTTTCAAAAAAATTCAAGAAAAAAACTTAAATTAGGTGAGATAATAATAGTAGAAGTAATAATAACAATAATATAACAATATAATAATGGCTAGAATTTATATAGTGCTTTAAGGTTTGCAAAACAACTTACATGTGTTAAATCTGTGTGCGAGAGAGATTCAACATGCAGAGAGAGAAAGAGGCTTTTATAGTCATTTGGTGATTCAAGTCCAGAGACTAGAGATAGAGTGTTGCAGGCTAGTCTTCTCATCAGCTATCTCTACCAATTCAAACCCTTAAGAAAGAGATGGCCTAGAATGGACCAAAGCTGCTGAATTATTGCTGCAGGAGATCTGTGAAAGTTGGTGAAGAGTTTTAACTACCTTCTCCCTCTGCCTATAGAAGGCAAGCGTTTGCTCCAAGATGTCTCTGTTCTTTAAGTGGTTCCTAACTTCTGATTCTAGAATTTTACCTTAAAATCTGTCTTACTCATCACTGCTTTGTGATTTATGAAGAAAATATCACAGATTGATAGAAATGAGGGGAGAGAGCATCCAGTCAAAGGAATAACATATACTCCAATCAATATGATGATCCAAGACAATTTCAAAGGACTCATGATGAAAAATGCTATCTACCTCCAGAGAGAGAACTGATGAACTCTGAGGGCAGATTGAAGCATACTTTTCAAAATTCTCAAGGGGTGGCGAGGGGCAGGAGGGAGGAAGAGAATTTGGAACTCAAAATTTTTTTGAATGAATGTTAAAAATTTACAATGGGAAATATTTAAAGAAATAAATAAAAATATTAATTTTTTAAAAGATAAAGCATGCAGATACAGAAGAGAAGAGTCAGTCAGCATGAATTATGTAGTGGATGGAAAACTGACTGCCCAATCAATTAATCCACATCTTAAAGTGCCAGAGGTTGTGCTAATCTCTGAGGATTCAAATAAACAGCAAAAAAGTCTCTGCCCTCAAGTTACATTCTAACAGGGAAAAGAACAAGTATACCATAAGATACCTACAAAATAGATACATGGTTTCCACTTCTGTAAAATGAGGAAAGCAATACCTGCTTGTGCCTATCTCACCAGGTCTTTGGAAACCTCAGATGTATAACATATGTGAAGCGCTTTGAAAAGTTTAAAAGGCTATAACCATTAACTATTATCATCCTAGCGAGCAGTTAGCTCTGTCTTCTGTCTCATGTGCCCTCCCCTCCTATTTCTCCCAGTAGGTGGCGCCGAAACCAACTCAACTATGTTGGTATTTGTGACTGTCCCCTACCCTGGAAGGTTGTCTAAATGCACTCAAGCCTTGATTTTTCAGCAATGGCATGGTAAGTCAAAAATTACTGGGTTTTGGAGTGCGTGATATGACCTCCCTCCACTGAAGTCATCTTCCAACTATATTTGTCTCAGGCAATATAGAAAATAGTTTGCCCTCCCTGAGCCCATAGAAATTAATAGGCGAGCGAGGTAGCTTACTGCATGGTCCAAGGAAGCCAGTCATGTTATGAAAATTTGTCAACTAATACATGAAGTGTATAAGTTGGAATAGGCAGGGATAACTGACTATAACTAGATCCCAGTCAGAGTGAACAATGAACCCCCTGAAGTGGTCATTTTATTTGAATATGCACTGCATATTTCCATTGAGCTGGAACCATACTGTATTTTATATAATTATAACTTCAAATAGTGCAAATCTGAATACATGTGACCATTTGGGGAGATTCATCATTTGCACTTATTATACAAATAAAATGAATTGGATGGCAGAGAAAAAATTTCAGAACAGGAAGAGATAAGTGATAGCAGGAAGAGATAAGAGATAGTATTCTGGTAAATGTGTAACCACCAACTTTCTAGGGGGGAAAACAGTACACAAGCTATATTTTTAAGTTTAACCTGCATTACTAACATTTTCTTTATCACTTTCTCAAGTCTAGAAAATCAATAGCAAAAAAAAAAATAATAAATCAAGCTCTGATTTGTAGCTTTTGCTAATTTCTGAGGCTTAAATGCTCAAGCTGAGAGTTTAACAATCAGCTCTCAGGAGCTGGTTAGAGCTGGCTCCAGCATAACACTGACTGTACAAGATGCTAAATGAGCAGTTCTATGGTGGATATGTTGTAGACAGAATTTTTGTTGTGGTCCAGGACAGATATTAAAGTCCTAAAGTCTTCTCTAACTCTAAGATTTGGTGAAAGTTCCTTATGAGAGATTGTGTTACA